AAATGCGAGTATATCTCCAAGTTCACCACATGGGCCTCGACCGAGTAACCGATGAAGGGGCGCTGGAGGAAAAAATCGTCGCCTCTCCGTCTCAAGGCGTCGGCATGAGACGAGGACATGTTCTACAGACAACCGATCCCCGCATCTATCACACCGTGGCACATCCCTACGCGTCAAGTAAAACGAGTGTGTTACATATGTATGACCCAACCGAAGACTACAAAGGGCGACTTCCTGGAAGCGGCTTCGGCGATGGGAGGATTCCCAGTCACCAAGTTGGGGCTTGATTTCCCTGCAAGCGTGAAGATGTTCGTCGAACATGTGCTGCCACGTATTGCGGACGTATTTGGAAATGACTGACTTCAGATCTCGGGCGGGTACATAAATTGGTATCGGTTTTCTCTCACACGCCGCAGCCAAAGCTGCGGCGTGTCATTTCTCATTTATCATTATCCCTACGTGGATAGGGATCCACATAAATGTGGTACGGCAGGAAGTAGTGTCCAGCCATTCCAGTTCCCTCCAAATCGAGCGCGTCAAAAATGAGTGGTCACGCGACATCGCCGTCGGGTCTAATGATAAAAGTGTGGTGGTGATTTGGGTTTTAAAGGCGCGTGGGCATCAGGGCCATTTTGCGCCCACTCGATGACGGTTATCTACCACTGCGACGGCGCGATAAGTATGTTTTCAACTGATAACAGGTAGCATCACTGGCGCACTTACGCCAAGGGGTGAGTGAAAATAACGTCAAAGTCAATGTGTGCTAAAAATGCGAGTATATCTCCAAGTTCACCACATGGGTCTCGATCAAGTAACCGATGAAGGGGCGCTGGAGGAAAAAATCGTCGCCTCTCCGTCTCAAGGCGCCGACACGAGACGAGCACATGTTCAACAGACAACCGATCCCCCGCATCTATCACACCGTGGCACATCCCTACGCGTCAAGTAAAACGAGTGTGTGGCGTATGTATGACCCAACCGAGGCCTACAAAGGGCGATTTCCTGGAAGCGGCTTCGGCGATGGGAGGATTCCCAATCACCCAGTTGGGGCTTGATTTCCCTGGAAGCGCGACGATGTTGGTCGAACATGTGCTGCCACGTATTGCGGACGTATTTGGAAATGACTGACTTTAGATCTCGAGCGGGTACATACATTGGTATTGGGGTTCTCTCACACGCCGCAGCTTTCGCTGCGGCGTCGGCTTTTTCATTCCCCATTATTCCTATGTGGCTGGGGATCCACATAATGTGATACGACAGGAAGTGTTGTCCAGCCATTACAATTCCTCCCAAATTGAGCGAGTCAAAAATGAGTGGTCACGCGACATCGCCGTCGGGTCTAATGATAAAAGTGCACTACGCAAGTCGGTCAAAATGACTATATCCCTTCAGGACGACAAGCAACGTACTGAAGCGCTGCTAAAATGGCAAACAGTTCTGAGGAAAAAACTGAAAGGTACTGCGGGAGGCATAGACCTACGGTATGGTCACCGCAAACAAATGCGCAACCCGTTCCTGTTGAGCCCTTGGACCCATTGGTAAATATTTGTAATGAGTTCGCCTATTGTGAGATCTGTTCCAACGAATACGTGAGAAACTCTCGTGGTGAAGTGCCATTTTTAAGATGCTGACAGAGTTCCAAATCATACTGAATACTCAGACGTCTCCACGGAGCTGGGTCCCGAAGAGTGTGCGGGGCAATGTCATCCAGCGTAATATCCGCCTCGTCCAGGCAGTCCCGGACGCGCAGGCACATCGGCTGCGCTGACGTGGGCCGCCCCCTCAAGAAAGAACGAATCAACGTCTGAGAGAAGATGAACTTAAAGGCTGGGTGATCCGGAAATTGTGAAACCTTTGTAGCGTAATTCAAAGTAAGTCGTTGTCTCCCAAGAGGCAAGGGCGGTTCATTCGCTTCCACCAGCAAGTTTCTTGTTCGGGTCGTACGAAACGCCCCAGTGGCTATACGAACACATGTATGGTGGATTGTGTCCAAAACCTGCTTCGAAGATGTAGGAGCACTTTCGTAGACAGGACTAGCATAATCGATGACTGATCGAATTAGGGCCCTATACAGGTTCAACAGGGTGCTTCTATCGGCTCCAAAGGTCATACGACACATTACTTTCATGAGGTTCATGCGCTTGAGACACTTAGTCTCAACCATCTTAAAGTGTTGCTTTAACGTGAGCCGACGGTCAAACGTGAGACCCAGGAAACAAATGTCGTTACAAACTGGGATAGTGGCATTATACAGTCACAACTCCGGGTCTCTACAGCCTCTAATCCGTGAGCAGAAGTGCATGCACTTAGTCTTGGTGGTCGAAAATTTGAAGCCATTCTTAAGGCTTCACTCAGTTAGTCGAATCAGGCATAACTGAAGCTGCCTCTCAACAGACGTCGTTGTGGATGCCGCACACCAGATGGCAAAGTCGTCCACAAACAGTGACCGACTGATGGTAGCTGGCAGACAGTCGGCGATATCATCGATCATCAGCGCAAA